ATTCTGTCATCTCTTCGTGGCTGTTTTTTTTTCTGATAGTCAGACCATATATCTGCGAATTGTATCTGCCCACGCAATGTCTGCTGTAATCGGTTGTTGAGTTAGTCTTTGTCTTTTATCATGACCAAGATTTGGAACGTACACATAAACATAAATTGCTGTCTACTAATTTTAGCTAGCAGACAGTTTTCACCACAAATAGCCTAATCACTGTTGAAGCTCATGTGAAGTGTTTCTTTAAAACTTTTGAGCCGATGACAAGACGATGAAAAGTTAAGATACGATAACTATAGATAGATATTTAAGTATTGGTTTGTAGGGATTTGGTTGGTTTCAGGATTTCATCATGAGCTGACATTAGTTAGAGAACCATTGGAAAACCTGGGAGTACTGGACAGCTGTTTTGTCCAAACTAGGACGAAACAGCTGTCCAGTACTCCCAGGTTTTCCAATGGTTCTCTAACTAATGTCAGCTCATGATGAAATCCTGAAACTATAGATAGAATTATAAAGTGGGTTTTGGAAATTCGGGGTATTGACTAATTGAAAATATATGAAAGATAATGGACATGATGAAAAAGATATTATCAACTTTAAAATGAGACGAAGAGGCTTTTGAAGTTTTCAGTAACAATAATGAATTATTTATTCACTATTGTCGTAGACATAAGAGAGTGTAGGAAAGTTGCATCTCTGTTGCGTTTACTTAATTAAAAATGTCAGTTGTTAGAGCTTTTGTTGTGGCACTTATACGCTCAAGGTCGGTAGCATGGCACGCATGCGTCAGACCATTGCTTGATTATGGGCGCTACACATGAATTCAACATCTTATGAGATAACCTGGCTACAGAATGCATATAACCTTAGTTCTTTGAATTGGTATGTTTCCTTGTAAGAAATGCATTACTTTTGTGTAGAACAAATGAGCTGAGAATGCTACATTGAACATAAACAAAAGCCTAAAATCCGCCGATTGTCCACCAGGAAGTTCTCCAGTGTTCCTAGTAAATCTGATTTCAGTCACTTCTTCTCAGCCAGTTCGTCAACGTTAACAGTTAATAATTAGAAGCCTAATCTTTAAGACTGAAACTTTATGACGAAAATCTAAAAAATAGCAGACTTCACACAGATGCCCCATTCGAAGTAGTTTCTTGTGGACTTGGTGTCTTCGTTAAACAACAAGGTTTCCTACAAAATTTTCAGACCAGTCGTACGTAATGCGATACCAACACCAAAGGGGGATTTCGATCCTCCTTGGTTTAGATTTCGGGTGATCGTGTAAGTATTAACATTAATTGTGGTGACATATATATATATATATATGTTTTACTGATTGCGGTAGAATGAATAATGCAACAGACAGCGGGTGGGGCAACGAGAAGACAGGCAATATAATGGACTCACACAAAAAACTTGGAGGATCTCCACTTCGCCGATGATATATGTCTGATTTCCCACAAACTGGGAGATATGCAAGTGAAAGGCAACAAGTTGGCAGAAGAAGCATCCAGAGAAGTTAGGACTTCCTTCAGGTGAACATAGATAAAACAGAGGTGATGAAGATTCCTGGCCAATAACAACTACAGAGAACAATCAGCATAAATGGAAGAAATTCGAAAGAAGCAGCCTCCTTTACCTGCATACCTACCTGGAAAGCATCGTTTCAACTACAGGTGGCGGAACTGACGAGGATATCAAAACCAGGATCATTGGGAAAGCAAGGCAAGCTTTCATTACTCTCAAATCTGTGTGGAAGTCAACAGCACTCAGCATCCAAAATAAGATCCAGATTTTCAACTCCAATGTGAAGTCAGTCAGTCCTACTATACGGATCAGACAGTTGGCGCCGCACCGCGCTGCCTCACGAAGGGCACTTCCAACAAACTACAGATCTTCATCAACAGCTGTCTTTGCTTAATACTACTCAAGATCAGATGGCCAGAAAGGATCAGCGGCATTGAGGAATCTCTCGCGATGAGCGAACTAACCCAGTAGGAACCGATTGTGCAACAAACAAGCAGAAAGAAATGGAGGTGGAATGGTCATACTCTGAGGAAACCATCAAATGACATCACTAGACAAGCCATCGCTCGAGTGGAACCCGAAAGGGAAGCGGTGATTTGGTCGTTAGCGCTAAGGTGACTTGGAGTGGGGTGAAAACGTTGGCAGAGAACCGAAGGCAATGGAAACGTTTGGCTGGAGATAATAATAATATTATTATTACTATAATAATCCCTATTTAAACTATCATATTTTCATATTCGAACTTCCTGTTTATTTTGCCGTTTTATTATTCCTACATATTTAATCCTTAATTGCATAAACAATTATTCGTCACACTAGTTATGATCCTACTAGATATTTTATCCAAACATCCTGTCTGTTTTTGTCATTTCTACATGGTTAATCCCCAATTGCACAATATGTTAATCTTCTCAGTAATTATGATGCTACTTTGTTTGAGTTTTATCCGTGACGGCCTACCCCTGTTTATTATGGAATTTTATTCCTAATTGTAATTTTTACTAAATTGAACCTTGAATGGAATATATTCTGGAACTTTCCCACCCATTTATTATAAACACACGAATTTACAGCTATGTAGTTGATGACTTCATCGAAAAGAAAATTTTCTTCGCTGCTAAAACCTGTACTCTGCATATAGAAGAAGTTCGTTGAATCACTACATTTGCAATACACGTAATCTATGTTATTACCTGACAGGTATATTCTACCTAATCATTTTCGCTTTTGTCTCTTCAGTATTATTATTATTTTGTCTTCTCAATTGTAATATTTTACATTTTCAACTTTCCTGTTCTCTACCCCCCAACCAGATTTAATTTCTGCACCTCATTACCACTGTTATTGACTTGACCAATGCTCAATTTCTAGTCACTTATGTTACGTCATCCAATTTATTTGCTCAATTTCAGTTGTAATTTAAATGGCATTATTCTCTATCCCACCTCTACATAGTCTCTAACTGTAACTACCTCTGTTGCTACCCTGACTTCTATTGGAATATTTTAATCAATTATATTTACGTCATCTAATTTACAAACTCAACCTTACTTTAGTTGCTGTCTAATTAACCTTGTTTCTTCTGTATTAGATCATTCTTCTATAACCTGATTAATTATCTAAACTTGACAAACCTAATGTACACACACACACGGACACACAAATAATTATATATAAATGTGATTGTACAGCTATGTTGTGAATGAATTCGCTGTCGAACAAAAGAATATCTTCGCTGAATGTCTTCTTGTCTTTTTCATACAACTGTCTTTTTATTATTCACTGTGATGAAGTGTGTATATTCCTTGGCATAACAAAATATATATATATCTACACATGTAATCAACTTAATGTGATGCTAAATAAGATGAGAATTACTGCTATCAGAAGAAAAATAAATTGAGGAAATTTAATGTGGTTGTGTTCTCTGAGCTGGATGGTTAATTTGCGAAGCTTTCATCACCCCACTGGGTGACATCTTCAGCGCATATTTCAATTTGAAGTGAGCTGGATGGAATGCATAAACCTATGCCTAACAACATACTTCCAATTCAATGGCCAAATATATGAACAAGTCAAAGAAACACCCATGGGATCGCCAATATCAGGTTTGATTGCAGAAGCAGTGATGCAAAGACTCGAAAACATAATCCTACCAAAGATCAAACCCAAGATTTGGATACGCTACGTCGACGACACATTTGTAATAATCAAGAGAAACGAGTTAGATAAAACTCACGACTTAATAAACAACGTCTTCAACGACATAAAATTCACAAGAGAAGAGGAATCTGAGAACAATATACCATTTTTTGGACGTCTTAGTCAAGCGAACAACCACAGGGGAATTAGAAACTCAAGTTTATAGAAAATCAACTCACGCGGACCAAATCCTGAATTACAACAGCAACAACCCATTAACAAACAAAAGGAATTGCATACAAACACTATTCAAGAGGGCAAGGATTCACTGCAGCACTCCCACCTTAAGGAAGATTGAAGAAAAGTATCACATGGACGTCTTCCAAAAGAATGGATATCCACGGAATTTCATCAAAAGACAAGCCAACCTATCAAACCAAAAGCCCCCAAGGAAAGCACAAAGAAAATCGCCTTACCATATATAAAGGATATCTCAGAAATCACTACAAGACTCTTCAAACCTTTAGGAATTGACGTCTCACACAAAGCAACAAAATCATTTCCCTCAGTTCTATGTCAACCAAAAGACTTGACAGCGAAAGAAGATAAAACCATCATCTACAAAATAAATTGTCACAACTGCGAAAAACACTACATTGGTCAAAGTGGACGTCCCCTTCGTCTTCGTAACCACGAACATAAGCTAGCCGTCAAAAGACATGATATTCACTCCCTCGCTCATATCACTACACACAGACAACGACGGACATCAATTCGACTGAGACAACCAACGTTCAAATATTAGACAGAGGAAACAACAAGAATGCTAGAGAATTCTTAGAAGCTTGGCATTCCAGTGAATCATCAATCAATAGACACATCGAGATAGACAAAATTTATCAACCGGTGAGAAAGAAACTTCACATACAAAGGGTCAAAGTTCAAGTCAAAGAAACAATTAGTTCCAATACAAGTAGCCTAGAAGGTGTGAAAACACACAAAACAGCCAATCACATTCAAGGTCACCCACCAGGAGAGGTGATCAATAAACTCGTGGAGAAGCCTAAAAGCTCACTTCAATAAATTGAAGTATGCGCTGAAGATGTATGTCACCCAGTAGGGTGATGAAAGCTTCGCAAATTAACCATCTAGCTCAGAGAACACAACCACATCAAAATCATCCACCTGAGCTACAATGCTTCTCGATCATATCTAAAGTGAGGAAACCATACCAAAAACTTACTAACTTCAGTGAATGAAGCATGGACTAGGGAAAAGAATAATTTCCAAGGAAAATCTTTATTCTTCATCTAATTCTAACATAGGTAATGCACTTAATGGAATAAATGACGCGTTATAATTTGCTCCTTGAGGAATGCCACTACTATTGTCAGTTTCATTACATTCTGGTATTATTCTCAATATTCCTTCTCCTCCTTCTTCTTCTTCTATTGTTGTTGTTGTTGTTGGTGGCGGTGGTGGTGTCGGTGTACTAGGAGTGTCTGTGGAAATGATATCATTAGACTGACAGTCGTCCTTGGGCGGAAGAAGACTTTCAGATTGATTCAAATCACTGTCATTATTGAATTCTGATGTATTGATGACGGGAGAACAGTTTTGAAGTACACTGTCATGAAGATGTTCTAAAGGATTTGTATCACACAATTCAACAAGTGAATTATCTATGAAAATAGAAAAAGGAAATGAGATATAGAAGTAACGAAAGCTTAATTATTAGCAAACCAGATAAAAGTGATGGTGTAGTTTTACTGGACAAAAACGATTATGTCCAAAAAAATGAAAGGTGTTGGTTTGTAGGGATTTGATTGGTTTCAGGATGTCATCATGAGCTGACATTAGTTAGAGAACCATTGGAGAACCTGGGAGTACTGGACAGCTGTTTCGTCCTAGTTTGGGACTTTTCACAGTGCGCACCCACCACCAAGGTTCAAACCCAGGACCTTCCGGTTACAAGGCGAGCTCGTATACCATTAAGCCACTGGGACCCGACAACCAGTGGGAAGTCGTGACCAGTAGGGTGCAGCTAATCGGGTGTGAGGACAAATACTCGCCGAAGACATTGGCTAGCGGTCCCGCTATGTCGTGAATTGGCAGAAGTTAGAATTCAAGGATCATTGGATCGGGTCCCAGTGGCTTAATGGTATACAACCTCGCCTTGTAGCCGGAAGGTCCTGGGTTCGAATCCCGGTGGTAGGGTACTGCTGAAGAGTTCCAAACTAGGACGAAACAGCTGTCCAGTACTCCCAGGTTCTCCAATGGTTCTCTAACTAATGTCAGCTCATGATGAAAATGGAAGGTATTTTGAGTGATCAAACTAAATTCCAATCTTTTGGTGTTTCCAAAGACTTCAATGTAAGAGCGGAAAAACTAATGTATAACTCTCCATTTCACAGAATAGCGAAGTGGCTAGTTAAGATTCTGGGTCCTTTGTACAAAGAAATTGTGCGACATAGAATAAGTGATGTCTTCGACTTTAGTTCAAAAATATCTGAGATTAATGTAAGGTATAGACGCATGTTATCCATGGATGTATCATCGCTATTCACTAATGTACCGCTTGTGGAAACAGTAGATTACATTTGTCAAGAAATCACGGAAAGACAATCGGACTTAGGAATCCCCTTGTGTAGCCTCAAAGAATTACTTCTCGAATGTACAATGAATGTTCACTTTGTCTTCAATAATTCTTACTATCGACAAGTAGATGGAATAGCTATGGGTTCACCATTAGGCCCAATATTAGCTGACTTCTTTCTCGCCAAACTTGAAAACGGGAAATTGAAAGACATCATCAAGGAGTTGGATATGTATTGCCGATATGTCGATGATACATTTATCTTAGCTGATGAGAATGTTAACATAGACGAATTGTTACTTAAATTCAACAACATCCATCCTTCGCTTACTTTTACTTGTGAAGGGGAGCAAGAGAATAAACTGCATTTTCTGGATGTCTTGCTAAGTAGGCTAGAAGATGGGTTCCTTGGGAGAAGCGTGTATAGATAGAGCACATTCACAGGGCAATACATACACTTCCTTAGTTACGTGCCCATCAAATATAAAAGAAATGTTGTAAAATGTCTCGCAAGCAGAGCAAGAGAGATATGTACGGATGACCTCTTACAAAAGGAATTTGAAAATATTCACGATTCCTTGATAAAGATGGGCTATCCTAGTTGTTTCATAAAGAAACATAAGAAAACATCAGAGAGAAAACCTGAGACACTGACTGCACGTAAGAAACCTCTTTTTATCAAGTTACAATTTAATGGTGACTTATCATGTGAGATTTCATACCAGAGACTTTCAAGGGGTATACGAAGAACGTTTTACGCAGCACACCTATGTTTGTCATTCTCTAGCCGACGAATGATTGGGACGCAAACGAAGAATAAGCTTGATAGTTTCGCCACATCTGTGTGCAGTTATCAATTCAACTGCACCTGCGATGACAGTTATGTTGGGCGTATTACTAGACAGCTTAGCCAACGTGTCACTACTGAACATCTCCCATTGTGGTGGTTTCGCAAAGGACAGACAAAAATAATCTGTAGCTCAGTTTTGCCACATTTAGTTGATAGTGACCGTGTAGTGGAGAAAACCAGAGCCTTCGAAATAATTCATCGTATCCCACCGAATCTTTCCAATAGACTACGTATTCGTCTACTGCACACCGCTGAGGCAGGCGATAGGCATTCGAACTATTAAACCTAAACTATGCTCATTCAAAAGAAGTTCGTGCAGTCATTATCGCTCCGTTGTTGGCCTATTAAGACATAACCGACTAATGACTTCTATACCAACCCTTGTTTACATTTTCAACCCCTTTCTTATCATCCCTTAATCTTATCACATCTTCATTAAGAGCGTGTCTCACTTACTTCACTTACAATCAGTCTAGCATTACTTAATCGGTTCATTCGTTTTTACTAGCCATTGTCGACTACTATATCTACTTGAACACTTGTTTGTTTAATCATGCTGTTTTTCATTATTCGTGTTAACACAGATTGCCTCACTTTTTCATCCTTGTTATTGATAGAATCGTTATTATTATTTTTATTATTATCATTAGTATTATTATGACTAATTGCACAATTTATATTCACCATCTTATTATCCTATAGATAACAACACCATGATTGGTTTATATTTGAATTTTTGTTTGTAAACTTATATACATTAGAGTTAAGCCTGATGAGATTTAATCGAAACCACAATATTGTTCGCTTAAATGTGTTTTTCCACATTTTACTATTATTATTTATTATTGTATCCTTTAATTCCTAGAGGAACATAGAACTTCAGCTGCACGTCTCCATTGCCTTCTGTTTTCTGTCAATTCCATATTAGTTTGATTATTAAATGTATCACACAGTGAAACAGTATTGTATACTGGATGACATTTCGAACACAATTTATTGTTCATAATCATATCAATTTTTGTCACACGACTTCTTTTAATAATCAAACTAATATGGAATTACTTAATACCACAGTGCCCAAGTTTTACACATATATTAACATGTTTTCTGTCAACTTTTTTACCTTGCTCCAAGTGTGCTCACATGCTTTCATCTCCTCTTCACATGACCTCCTCCAAGTCCTCTTGGCGCTAACAACCAACTCGCCGCTTCCCTTTCGGGTTCCACTCGAGCGATGGCTTGTCTAGTGATGTCATTTGATGGTTTGTTTTCTCAGAGTATGACCAATCTACCTCTATTTCTTTCTGCTTATTTGTTGCACAATCGGTTCCTACTGGGTTGGTTCGCTCATCGCCAGAGATCCCTCAATGCCGCTGATCCTTCCTGGCCATATGATCTTGAGTAGTATTAAGCAAAGACAGCTGTTGATGAAGATCTGTAGTTTGATGGAAGTGCTCTTTATGACGCGCCAACTGTCTGATCCGTATAGTAGGACTGACTGACTTCACATTGGAGTTGAAAATCTGGATCTTATTTTGGATGCTGAGTGCTGCTGACCTACACACAGCCTTGCGAGTAATCAAAGCTTGCCTTGCTTTCCCAATGATCCTGGTTTTGATATCCTCGTCAGTTCCGCCCGCCTGTAGTTGAAACGATGCTTCCCAGGTAGGAAAAGGAGGTTGTTTCTTTCAGGTTTCTCCCATTTATGCTGATTGTTCTCTTTGTTGTTGTTGCCGTTGGTATTGGCCAGGAATCTTCATCACCTCTGTTTTATCTATGTTCACCTGAAGGAAGTCCTAACTTCTCTGGATGCTTCTTCTGCCAACTTGTTGCCTTTCACTTGCATATCTCCCAGTTTGTGGGAAATCAGACATATATCATCGGCGAAGTGGAGATCATCCAAGTTTTTTGTGTGAGTCCATTTTATGCCTGTTTCCTCAGTGCTCGTTGTCTGTCACATTATCCAATCTACTGCAATCAGGAAATTATTGGCGATAGTAGACAGCCTTGCCTCACTCCCGTCCTCACTTCGAAGGCTTCCGTAAGTTTCCCGTTGTGGATTACTTGGCATGCAGCATTGTAGTAAAACTATGGGTATACCTAATGTATTGAAATGAGGCATTGTTATTCAGTGAGGATCACTGAAGAGTTTTAGGCTTGAAAGAAGTCTAAAAGAAGAACAAAAAAGGATATGTAAATATTATGCGAATGTCCACTATGAAGTTAAGCAATCTTACCAGGATTATGCTGATTATTTGATGATTCCGTTTCAGAAGATGAGGAAGTATCATTTACAGGCTTAAAGAGGTTATTATTAGAGCAACTCAGGTCAGCATCCAATCTTGTAGAGCTTCCTTCATTGTCCAGATGATTTAGATTTCCATCACTTTTATGATGATGATGATGATAATAATGGTGCGTGTCTTTTTGACCAAGGGCGTTTTCCCTGTGAATGACAGACAAGTCAACATATTTCAATAGTACGTTGTAATCAATTAACGTATATCAAAAAGAATATTACTGGATGAAAAGTAAACATAAAGACTGATCACGGATTGATACCACCTAGAGAACCAGTGGAAAAAAAACCAAGGAGAGAGTACTGCACAGCTGTTTCACCTTCATCTGAGACTATTCGACAGTTTACATTAACCGAACAGGATTCGAACCCAGGACCTTCCAGTTACAAGGCAAGCCCCCTTGAGACCATTCAACTACTAAGGTCCGAGCCAATAGACATCCCATAAATTCTAACTTCCACCAATTCATGAATTTAGCACAACTGACACCAGACAATGGTTATCGGCAACTATGTGTCCACAATTTCCGACCGGGCGGATTCCAATGTAGTCACGACTTTTCACTGAAATTAAAGGGCATTTTCGTCCAGAATCTATTCATTGGCGAGAATCAGACTAATTTTCAAGAGTTCTTGAAAATAAACATAAAAATGGATACATATTTGTAGCCCAATAAAAGCCACATCTTACCTGTCATTGTACTCCACCACAATATTGTTTGGAGTCGAGATAAAGGTGTAAAGTTTGTTAGAGCCTCCCTTCTTCAGACTGCACTCCTGTTTTGACTCTATTCCCAAGGAGGGCACTTTTACTAAGCAAGCTGATTTCAGCAAACACTGAGTCCAGCTGGATCAAAATGTGGCTGTCTTACTATTGTTCCAGTAGAAAAAAACAAACTGTTTTAAATGGAAAGCCCTAAACTTCTTCGTTTACAGAAACTGGTGAGCCCTAAGGCGTTTTACTCTCTCTTTTTGTTCGACCTACCGTCTTCTTCCAAAGCTGATTTCATCAAAAACATACTGATGATCTAACAATCTCTATCCCAGTAGTTTCTGCATTTCATTGTTCTGACTTGAATAGCTTCTTATCTGAGGTTAACCACAAAGGTCTCCCTCAAATGGTCTTGAACTAAATCCCTCTAAATGTCATACTTCTTATCCTATTTTCAGACGTCAGCAAGACCTGTATGACCTGATTCAGTCCAATGATTTCTGTAATATACACGGCACTGTGATAATAGAGAGTTTATCGAATAGCTCTTATCTCAACAACAGTTTTTCTTCGAACCTCTGTTGATCATCGCATATCCTGTTGATTTCTAAGAAATGTTTTCGTCTGACTTGTTTACTAAAAAGAGGTTGAAATTATGTGCTGGTATAACCCAAGCCGCCTTCCTTCTACAATTTATTAATTCACCTATTCTACCATTTCTTCTTGATTGTTCGTCATTTTATTTTTCCTTGGACTTGTCAAGAAAGACTATGTCATATTGTGTAGAACACTGAAGACTGTAGGCAGGGTTAGTGATGTGTACCTTCGACTCAACCAGCTGACATTGTGCTACTGACAGATATTTCAATTCTTGCAAGTTGATGGCCAAAGTTATCTTGGACGACACCAGGCAGTATCTATAGTTGCAGCGTTTTCCTTGTATGCCTTCGACGATGAAACCAGAAGAAATTTCGTAAGAATCTACGCCCACACTGCCAGCAAATATTAAAGCTCAACCATATCATAATAAGCACAGATTTTGTCTGAAGAGAGGTGAATGTCAGAAAGTAGCTCACAACCTTTTTAAATACGTTAATAAACAGCATATGATAGCCAGGATTATCATTATTATTGCATATATTATTTATTACATTACTTATTGTTCATTACAGTCCTATAACTTTCAGTTTCTGTGGTTTTGTTATTTTTCAATTATATGGATCTACATATTCATGAAAGGAGCTAAATTATTGCAATATGTACAGAACTCTGAAAATTCCATGCTGTATAATAATAATTATTATTTAATTGATGGATGGTGACTAGCAGTGGAATCGAGGATGCGCATTTCGTCCTATTTGTGACTCATCATCTGGATGTAAATGCATTCCCCACTGCTTGATGAGTGAGTGATGATGTTCCCACCGATGCTCGAATTCAGTGTCCATAGTTTCAAACGTCAAAGCGTTATCCACTACACCACTTGTGCAATGAATGGGTCATATTGATTGGGAGCATCATAGCTCACTGGGAATGCAGGTACATCCAGACAGCGAGTCCCAAGTAGGAGGAAATGTGAATCCTGGCTGGACTCCACTGCTAGTCACCATCCACCAAATGACTTCTAGTTACATGCCCAGACATCATCGAAGCATCTGCACAAGAAGCCGACATGTCAACCTGAGACCGAGCACTTCGGTTCAATCAATAGACGGGAAAATCTAAAATTTATTCAAAATATTATTATTGTTTGGAATAAAGTGATTAAAAATAGCTAGTGTCGCTACAGCTTCGGAAGTGTGCTATTTCTAGTCTTAGTAACACAGTTATGTTCCTTCAGAGGAGTGACACTTTAATGCCAGTGTTAGTCTCTTTTCAGTTAAATGATATGTCAACTAACTCATTAACACGACCTAAGCCAAAAAAATCCCTAAATAAAAATGACGGCAAAATAACACAGGGAATGTAAACAGTTTGTTTTAAGACTAAGAGTCGTCAAATGTAAGCGATATTGCATAACCAACCAACTTATCTGCTAATATTTTAAATATGACTGTTCTTAGGGGAACAGAATAAGTTCTAAACAAAAAAATTATTCAGGATACTTCTCGTATAATTCAATCTGTTGATAACGATGAATATATAGTTGTAACGGAAAAAATTGTTCGGCGAAATTTCACCGGGTTCTTGTTATTTACCTTTGTGCTTGTTTAATCTCTAATTTTATTGCTTTTCAAGTATTGGTTTGTAGGGATTTGATTGATTAGTTACAGGATTTCCTCATGAGCTGACATCGGTTAGAGTACCACTGGAAAACCATCAGGGAGTGCTGGACAGCTGTTTCACTTTAGTGCTTGCGTCTTTTCAGTAGCAGGCACCCACCACAAGGGTTAGAACACAGGACCTTCCGGTTACAAAGCGAACTCGTAGACGATTAGGCCACTGGAACCCGACTCAATGGCCAGTGCATGGGTTCCAACTTCTGTCGATTCACGTCATAGAGCGAAGTTGGAATTCATGAGCAATTGGATCTGGTCTCAGTGGCTTAATGGTGGTCAAGGAAGGTCATGTGTTTTAACCCTTGTGGTGGGTGTGCACTGATGAAGAGTCCCAAGGGCTAACGCAAAACAGCTGTTCAGTACTCCTCGAAGGTTTCCCAATGGTACTCTAACCGATTTCAGCTCATGATGAAATCCTGTGACCCATATTTATGCTTCTCACTGTGGTTGTGTGTACATTGATGATGTGTTGTACGATGTGTACGATGTTGGACTGTTTTCGGGAATTGTTTAATATGTGATTCTTATGGACAGAGTTTTTGATTTCACCTTTCCGGGAATATTTTGTTCAATTTTAAGTGCTCGTTTTGCACTTAGAGTGAACTGTATAACTAACTGCCTTACGGCACTGTTAAGGTGATTTTGCGTTCTTTATGTTATTATTGTTGAACAGAACCGAAAAAAGGTATTCCTGAATAATCGTATCTTTCCTTATCTTTGGAGCGTTTTATGACTGCGTGTGTTTTTCGAAATTTTTCCCAGATATAAAGTAGAACCCAGTGATTGGTGTCCTACCTTCAGACTACAACAAGTCGGTTCTGATCACTACAATAATCACTTTACAAGCGGAAACTTTCTAATCAAAATACATGAAAGAATTTTGATCAACATGCATATACAAATGACTCGCCGGTATTAAACAAATCAGTGAAAAACAATTTTTTAATAGTTAAATAAAAGTATGGTAATTAGTCTATATATATATATATATATTATTCCCTAAGATTTCCAGTGGAATATACGGAATCAGCAGCACGTTTAAATCTTATCGTGTTCTCTGCTGTTCACTTCAGCTGGATCCACTAGTGCCCATAAGCTCTCATCCCCATCTCACACTGTCTCTTCCATACCACCCTGAGAACCACGTCCAACTTGTCGTTTACCACTCGTAATCCATTCGAGCAATAGTCTGACACACAGTGTCACCCACCACTGCTCTCCTCTGCTTTTAGCTTATCCATCTGCGATTTCTTTGGAATATTTGTTGGTTCGTTTGCTGAGTTTTTTTTTTCTTTCCAGCCGGTCATAGGATCTTCAGTATGGACTGCACGAAGGCAGCTCTGTTGATAAGTCTGCAGTAGCCTATTTTCAAAATGCTTTTCATGACGCTTTCGCCATGTTTATGGCCCAATATGGAAGAACTAACTTAATATTGAAAGGTTGAAAACCTGAATCATGTTCTTTGTGTTCTTATTGCATCAGATTTCCAAAGTGATTTCGAACTGGTGAAAGTTTGCCTTGCCTTTTTGATTCTGGTTTTAACATCTTCATCCATGTTGCCTGTCTGCACTTGAAACAATAAGGCCTAGTTGTACAAGTGAAGAAAGTGACCTTTGTCAAATTTCTCCTGTTGATATTCATTGATGCTTGTTGTTGTTGTTGCCGATGAAGGTGGTTGTTGGCTGTCTTCATCACCTTTGTATTCTCTCGTAAGCTCCATTTAAACGCATATCTATTTAGTACAGGAGACAATGCGGGATACGCACAATGTTGTTCAATAAATCACATATTTTGTTCATTAAACATTGTCGTTTATACACAGTCAACAGACAACAGTCGGAATTAAACTCAACAGATCAAAGATGTATATCCACGGAAAGCTTGAGTTTACATCTCAGGTTATTTTATTTTCCTAATTAAGCATAAATCCAACTTATTACACACTGAAATTGTAGGAGAAACATATAGTGATAATATATGCTACCGCCTGCTTGAACCTATTCACGCTTTGTTATCACTGGCTGTTTTTATTCATATTCTCTCGATTTTCATAGTCAATAACAATATAACAAAGTCACAGTAAGTTGATCTTTCCCAATGGTTACATATTCATTTAGCATAATTCACATATTCCAACCTGATGATGAAGATGTGTATTTTGTTCGAAGTGCCCTTCGTGACGCGGCGCGGTGCGGCGCCAAGTGTCTGATCTGTGGAGTAGCACTGACTTCACATTAGAGTTGATAATCCGGATCTTAATTTTGATGCTGAGTGCTGTTGACCCCCACACAGACACTTGAGAGTAGTGAACGCTTGCCGTGCTTTCACGATCCTTGCTTTGATACTTTCGTCATTTCCGTCCGCCTGTAGTTGAAACGATGCTTCCCAGGTAGGTAGGTAGGTAGGTAGGTAGGTAAGTAAAAGAGGTTATTTCTTTCAAATTTCTTCCATTTATGCTGATTGTTGTCTGTAGTTGTTGTTGTTGCTGTTGGTGTTGGCCAGAAATTTTCATCACCTCTGTTTTATCTATGTTCACCTGAAGGAAGTCCTATCTGTGATGCTTCTTCTACCGCCAACTTGTTGCCTTTCACTTGCATATTTTCCAGCTTGTGGAAAATCAGACATATATCATCGGCGTAGTGGAGATCCTCCAAGTTTTTTGTGTGAGTCCATTATATTGCCTGTCTTCTCGTTGCCCGGCCAGCTGTCTGTCGCATTATCCAATCTACTGCAATCAGGAAAATCACTGGGGATAGTAGGCAGCCAGCTTGTCTTACTCCCGTCTTCATTTCGCAGGATTCTGTGAGTTTCCCGTTGTGGATTGCTCGGTATGCAGCATTGTCGTACAATTGTTGGATGAGATCTATAGTTGTTGGCGGCAAACCGTAGTAGCGAAGTAGTTTCCAAATCACCTCTCTGTCGACGCTGTTGAAGGTATGGGGTTGTACATTAAAATGTATTCCTAAATAAGAAGTTACGATCAACTCTGACCAAACCTAGAGTAACTGAAACACAAGTGTCGCTGCACAAAGTACAGATTATGTTCCCTGCATAATTGTAATTTTCATGAATAAACAAAATGTGGATTATATTATTTATCTATTATTTTATTCCTTAATGTCCTTAGTGGAATATAGGGCTTCAAGCTAGAGCTTTGAAGTTTCGGTAGAAAGGGGTATTTATTTTTTACGGGATGGGGTTTCAAGCCTCATGTCCGACATACTCTCTTTACCAGTCCTTATTACTGGCTTAATGAGGTAGAGGAGTGCGTCTGTGGTCGGGGATCGAACCCTGAACCAACAAACCGTGAAGAAGAATAATAATGTCAAATATTAAATTCATACTCACTGAATACTGCACAAATCATTATGTGATGCCTCCAAAGCGTCTCCAGGAGAAAACCCGACATGTTGCGAGAAACTCACAGATTTTGTTGGTAGCCCGCGTGAAGATAAATGATTAACAACATATTGTACATTTTTTCCATTGGGTTCCACTACTGACGATTTGTCAATCGATAAAGTCTGTTGAAGGTGAATGCTACCTTCAGATGGTACAGCATCATGATTGTCACCAGATAGTCCAGCAACAGCACCATCATGTAAATCATTCCTATCTGAAATGCCTACTCCATCTCCACTATATTCTGTATTAGAAGTGAATAAAAACAAGAAGGATGATCAAAAGAGGAATGGAGATTAACGAAATAAATATGTGAATGTGTTCAACGAAAGAAATAAAAAACGGCAACAGTGTTAAGAATAGACACTAAATTCAGACGACCTTGAGATAGCCAATCCGATTCTTCTAGGTGAAAAGTGGTACTTAATTCACAAAGAAGTATATCTACGAAACAGCTATCTACTACTCCCCGGGGTTTCCAATGGTTCTCTAACTAAAGTCAGCTCATGATGAAATCCTGTAACCAATCAATCAGTTCCCTACAAACCAACACTTGAATATCAATGAGATGCTTACTAGCGACTTTCCCTATTCAGATAGGTAGTTACCTGGGTGTTCTAGTGAGAAGTTGTGACCAGTAGGGTGCAGCAGGTCGGTTGTGAGGACAAATACTCGCCGAAGACATTGCCTAGCTGTTGCGCTATATCGTGAATTTGCAGAAGTTAGAATTTATCGGCCAGTGCATCTGGTCTACGACCTCGCCTTGTAACCAGAAGGTCCTGGATTTGAACATTGGTGGTGGGTGCGTATTGCTGAAGAGTCCCAAACTAGGACGAAACAGCTGTCCAATACTTCCAGGTTATCCAATGGTTCTCGAACTAATGTCAGCTCATGATGACATCCTGAAACCAATCAAATCCCTACAAACCAACACTTGTAAGATGAATCATATAGGGTATATATCTCTAATATGCTGCGAAAACTGGTGGTCCCAGATTCTCATAGAAGTGGGTATAGACATATCAAAGCAATGTATTTTCTATTCCTCCAGCTGTAGTAGATACTGGTTACATATACGCAATATATATTACTAAGGGATCTCTTTGATTTCGAGAAGAAAGTGTCCAAAAAAGTCACCAGTTACATGCGACTTACCAACTTATACAGACTTCCTAATATAAAGTCGTTGCAGTTGAATGTAAAACCATCGATAGCCCGCGGCAATACTTTTCCAGCGTAATTATCCCTTCACTACACACGCATGTTTTATTCCTCCCTAGTAACACATTATCTACACAGAGAAGTCAAAAGCCGAATCTAGGAGACACTTTCAGAGGGGACATTATGACTAGGAACCATTTGTAATGCTGATCTATCTACCTGATTGATCAAATCAAGGTCATTTAACTTTGGTGTCTATTGTTTACTCTTGCGCTAATAATTTATGAAACCATTCGAAGGATTATAGGCTAATTGATTGTCTGAAGGCAATCAATGTAAATATGTTGTTATTGTTGTAAATCTATGCTACTAATTTCTGACAATATACAGATTCACTAATTTTGAGGTGAGAGCTGTCTGCTAGCCGAAATTGTAGACAACAATTTGCGTCAATGTTTACTTCCCGAATCGTGTTCATGAGAAAAAGCAAGAGCAAAGCTTAACTTTGAGGAACTCAACAACCAATCACAGCAGACTTTGCGTGTGTATATACGATTCGCAGATATATGGCTTACCTTTCTAAGAAACGGTCATAAGCAGTACAGAATAACCTTGAGCAAGGAAACAACCAATCAGAAGATGTTGCTTCTTTGCTAACAATAAAGCTAATAATAATATACATAAAAATCCATAAATATCTGTTGATTTTTTCAATAAACTATCTGTTGCCTGGTCCTTGTCTTCTATCGTTACAAATACAGCAGATCAACCTGAAGGTACTTAGTGTGGAACAAGTGGAACCACTCAAGGTGAAAATAGCACACTGAGAGAAGGTGGGATATCAAGCCTACATCATAATTCACATCCAAAAAGAAGACTAATCCAGTTCGACTCAGGTAAAGCAGATTGTAGTCTATATATATATATATATATATATATATATATATATATATATATATATATATGCGCGTTCTATTCACTAAACTTTCTCCTACAGCAGGAGTGACGATGATATCTCTTTGTAAGCCAAAATTACAGCCGTAAAACCAACACAATCTGAGCTACTGATATTTCCAACCACGTCACCACTTGTCCTTCTTTTGTCTTTAGATTTATAGTTCAAAACTTTCTGTTAGTCAAAATATTTAACAATTCACGTAGCATCCTACATCTATAAAATTACCTTTAAAGCACATTTGAAAAACAGAATGCTGTAACTCGGAAGTAATGATTAATTAGTAATACACCACTTGATATAAGGATAAAACACACAACCAGACAAACGGGTGGGGGACGGTGGGGAACAGTCGAAATTCTAAAAAGTAATCTGGGTAGGTGGGTATAGGGAGAGATTGATTGGTGAATCCTACCTGGTTCATCGAGTCTACTACACCCAACACATACAACAGAAGTGACTCAACGCAAGTACCAGAGATATGGAAGATATTATTGCCAGTCAAATTAGAGGATTATATGTAATGTTAAAATATATTCAATTGGCATTATAACAACATTATAACAAGTTATTTATTTATTTATTTTACTATAAAAACATCTTATTTTCCATCTAATTGTATTTCATTGGTAAAACTAATATTATTATTTCTGAATGTGTTTTATCTTAAATTGACTTTATTCAAATGTATGATCATTTTTTACTCATGTATAATATTAATGAAGCAAGAAAGATATGTGAGGGATTATGAGCAGCGATAAACTGTACTCGAAATGTGGTCATCAGTAAATATTATTGTAATAACAAAAAACACTATGTGATTTTGTCAAAATAGAAAATTTTTATCCATAATGTGTGATAATACACTACTCACGTGATATTGAACAGTGCTTGAGAATACTCTTCAATGCTGACGCCGTTTGACAGTTGATTTCTTCTGAATTCCTGGGCGAGGAATTATGCCTTAGACGTTCACTTTTATTAACTTGACCATTTAATTCGTTAGAAGATAAGTGAATCGTATTCGATAACTGATAATCTTCTAAGTTGGTATTATTCTCTTCAATAATATTGTCATTATTATTATTAGTAGTAGTATTATTATCGTCACAATTATTAACAGATTTTATGTCATTGGTATTCCAACATTCGATGGAACAGCTATGGGGTGAATTTAATTGGTGGTGATTCATAATTTCTGAGTTTCTGTCATCCTCTATTTGTGGTTTAGAGGATATATCATTGGTATTGTCCAGTGTAGCCTCACTGTCACTACACAGACTGGAACACGTCATATTAGGTATAAGGGAATTAGAACTATGATCTGGATAGGATGATGGAGATTCCATTCCAGTGGATGAACACTCCTGAATTTTTAACCAAAGAACAAAACGACAGAAAAACAAGACTAATTAATTTATAATACTACTCATGATGATAGTCACTTTATTCGAAACAATAATAATAAATAATTGTACAGAATGGAATTTTCAGAGTTCTGTACATATTGTAACAATTTAGCTCCTTTTATGAATAAATATGCAGAAGTGTAACAATAGAAGACAAGGGGCAGGCAACAGATCGTTTATTAAGGAAATCAACACACATATTTATAGATTTTCGTGTACATTTTTTATAGATTATTTAGGCAAAAAAGAATATTTCCAACAGGTTGCTCCACTTACCTAAGGAGCATTGTCTCAACTACAGGAAGTCGGAACGGACGGGGATGTCAAATCGAGTCGAGCGAGAATCGGGAAGGCAGGCGCGAAGCATATTCACTCATCAACCTGAAACAACCAATCTGAAAATCTTCGTCACTCAGACAGCATCAACAACAAAATTTGGTCGGGTTTTTAATACAAACAACGTCAAGTCAGTCAGTTCTTCTATACGGAACGGATCAAAAACTTGGCGGGCGGGTCACAAAGAATATTTCCAACAGCCTGTCGCAGACGTTACCTTTATCAACAACTGTCTTCGCTGTCTCTATACTGAAGATCAGATGGCCGGGCCGGAAAGAATCATCAACAAAAAACTATGGGCACAGACAAACAAAACAAGAACCGATCGCCAACCAACAAATATGCAGGAGAAAGTGGAGATTGATGGGTTGGACACTCGCTCGCTGAGGAGGCAGGCCGCTGGGTGACATGGCGCGCGTCAGGCCATTGCTCGAGTGAAACCAGGCCGGAAGGGAAGCGGCGAGTGGGACGTCAGTGCAAGGGTGACATGGGGGAGATCGTGTGAAGAGGCGTTGAAACAGTATGGAGTAACATGGATGCAGGTGAAAAGTACAGCAGAAGACAGAAGTGGCAAGTGGAGACGTGCAGTTGAAGCCCTATGTTCCACTAGGAACCTAGGGGGACAATAATAATAAATAAATTAAGCGAAAAACACAGCCTTCTGATTGGTTGTTTCTCACAGAAAGTTAACTTTTCATCACTTTGTGGCTGTTTCCTGTATGTCCGATCATCCATATGTCAACTGTATCCGCCTACTCAAAGCCTTTGTTCTCATTTTTCTCACGACCAATATTGGGGACATATACACTGACGTAAATTACTGTCCACCAACTCTGGCTAACAGCCAGCACTCACCACAGATGCATAAAAATGCAAAGAAATAATCAAACCACAAAATCCGAAAATTATTTGAATACACTGAAAAATAAGCAGTGCGATGAATAATGTATGCGATAGTAATAATAATAATAATCCTGGTTATCCAATTGGTGGATGGTGGCTAGCATTGGAATCCAGGATGCGCATTTCGTCCTATTTGGGACTCGTCAGCTGGATGTACCTGGATTTCTCAGTGAGTGATGATGTTCTCACCGAGGATTCCACTGCTAGCCACCATCCAAATATTGTATACTAATTAAATGACCAGACATCGTCGAAGCATCTGCACAAGAAGCCGACATGTCAACCTGAGACTGAGCACTTCGGTCCAATCAATCGACGGGAAAGTCAAAAAATTCAAATCAATCCTGGTTATCGTTTGCTGTTTATTTACCGATTTAAAAAGGTTATGAGCCGCTTTCTGACATTCACCTCTCTCTTCACATAAAAAGCCTTGTTAAATTGTTTTTATTATTTTGCTCTGTACGAGCATAAGTTTTTTTGGAATTTCTTCTTGTTTTACTCGCAGAGAGATACAAGAAAGAAGTTGCGAAGAAAGAGGATGTTTGAAGTCAGACAAGATAACTCTAGCCAACTGTTTGTAACAACTAAAATGCCTGTCACAAGCACAGTGTCAGTTAGTTCATATCACATTTCATATCACATCACTTACTGTATCACGTTGAATAAACTTATCTCATGTGGAAGCGTAACAACGGAAGACAAGGGCCAGGCAACAGATCGTTTATTGAGAAAAAAATCAAGAGATATTTACAGATTTTTAAGTACAATATTATTCGTTATTGTTAGGGTTAGTGAAGCAATGTCTTCTGATTGGTTGTTTTCTTGCTGAAAGTTATTCTGTACTGCTTATGACCGTTTCTTAGAAAGTTAAGCCACATATCTGCAAATCATATCCACTCACGTTAAGTCTGCCGTGATTGGTTGCTGAGTTCCCCAAAGTTAAGCTTTGCTCTTGCTTTTTCTCATGAACCCGATTCGGGACGTAAACAGTAACGTAAATTTCTGTCTACCGATTTTGGCTAGCAGACAGCTCTCACCACAGGATTACATTCTATCACAGTATCCAAGTTCTACACTTACATCACAGAAGAATTCTACTAGATTGTGCACTATATCAAATCATTTCTTCTCAACAAATAATCGTCAAATTCAGCTCCATATATGCCTGCTGCTGAGTAATGTATCAGCTGTGATGAAGAATTCAGGATTGTTCTCTGTGTCTCCATGATTCAAGGAATTTTTGTTTGTGATATAGGACAGTAGTCGAAATTGACTCAATCCTAATTTCATTAATAGTTTCTATTTCTTTACGCATGTACGGTTCACCTCGATACAATAATGAGGAATAAATTGTTCTCAAAACATTGTTAGTGAATGGTCAAGAGGCTGTGTGTAAGTGAGCAAACGTTAGAGATCATGGTGCTCGAACCGTCGCTGCACCATTAGAAGGCAAATGTTTGGCCACTAACACCAATGACCCCTAAGTGTTGGTGCCGAATTCTGACAAATCTCACAATGTGGAAAGGTCAGTTATCCTTGAATTCAGCGTCATGACAAATGAAGACGATTGAAATTGGAAATACAAGTTATCCTACCATCGTATCAAGAAGCTGCTCCCTGTCATCACAGGTGAGCTAAAACATATCAGTGGGAGACTGTGTATTAGGAAGCGGTCGAATTCAGCAATACATTCAGTGACACTGCATAAAACTCATCATGTCTCAGACAATAATAATAACAGCTTTATTCCAAACAGTATTTGTGGTGCAGGTATGGAATTTTCAGCGGGCATTACAATATATTGCATCTAATTACCTCATAAATTTTATAAGATTTTTAAAATCAAAAAGCAACGCCAAAAAAAGATAAATAAAGAAATAAAAACAACTGCGTAGCGTTTACATTTCAAACAATGCACTACAGGATACGAAATATGAAATTAGTGTGTGATAGAAGATGAGAACAAGTGTAATAGTAACGAGGAAAGGAAAACAAAAACTAATGGGACTATTTTTTAGAGTTCCGCAGTAAGTTGATCGTGTCATACCTAACGGATTTCTCATCACATAACAGCTGTGCCAGATATGGTATTGTGGAGTTTTTGTATTTGGTAGTCCTAGCATATAGCCTCCTATACCTACTTCTAGTTCTACCAGATGAATTGCAAGGAGAGAGCTGCGTATAAAGAGGATACTCGGGGTCTGACAATATTGTATTCGCTAGTTTCTTACATGACATTATAAGTCTATCCACAATAGTGTTAACCAGTTGGTTTAACGATATCCCACTTGCCCTACTAACAGCTTTTAGTGCCCTTCTCAGCGAAGCAAAATCTTTCTTAAGTAGTCCAGGAAAGATTAATGGGGAACAGTAAAGGGGGATGGGTAGAATACAAGAATTGACAAACTGAGGAAGCAAAGACTGTTTATGCCAGACTGCTTAAACTTCCTAATGTAGAACGTTAAGCGAAAAATCTTTCTAGTAACTAGAAAGATGTGGGAGGACCAGGAAAGATCAGTGGAAAAGCTCAGCCCAAGGTACTTGACATTAGATGTAATTTCAACTTCTATGCCGTCAATGATATTGGGACCATGTGAGCTAACTAGTTGCTGTAGGTCACGTTTACGTCTGGAAGTGAAATTGACTACCTGACATTTAGACGGATTAAGCTTAAGACCGTTTGAAGAGGACCACTGACTAATTTCCAACAGAAAGTTATTTAATTTGGAACAATCTGACTGAGAGTTGACAGGCATAGAAACAGAGAGGTCATCGGCATACTAATTAAAAGTGGCTACATCAGAATGAGGCAAGTCATGTAAGAAAAACGAAAACAGAAAAGGAGAAAGAGCAGCACCTTGAGGAACACCAGCTAAAGTGGGTTAGGTAGTGGAGGACTTTCCATTGTAGACGGTGTACTGCTTCCTATCATAAAAATAGGAATGCAACCACTTATTTGTCCAGCTTTCAGCCTGTGTTGCAGCAAGCTTACTTAGCAAGAGAGACCTAGGTACAGAGTCAAATGCAGATGTGTAATCGAGGAAGGCACACCGAACGTATTTAGCTCCTCTGTCTAAACTAGAGACTATATTATGATACAGGACAATAGTGGCATCTAAGGTACACCTACTATGTTTATAAGCAAACTGGTTGGGGTCATTGAAAGGCTTTAAAGAGGGTTCAAGGTGAGGTAGTTGCAATGGGTATAAACTTAACATTAGGTCCACTTGTTGACTTAGGCACTGGAACGATCTTGATATTTTTCCATGAGTCAGGTATAATACTTTTGGAAAAAGATTCGTTGAAAATATCAGTTAATGGCGAACACAAGATGTCAGCGCACTTCTTAAGGATAACAGCAGGAACACCATCAGGACCAAGGGACCGAGTAGGTTTGAGAGACTGAAGACACTTGAGGACATCATCATATCTACCATAAACGTGAATTTTAAGGACGCATAGGTTAAGTCCATCTTGTGAAAGCAATGCGTAGGAAATATTGGAATTTGAGGAGAGCTGAGAGAGTTAAATGTATAGTGAACAGATGTATCGGTTGCAGGACCAGATCTGTGAAACCAGCCGCAAAGTTGGTGGTAGGTTAACTAGAGACAGGTGTGACGCCAGATCTTTGGTATTACTGCACTGGTTTAGATGATCCCGACCCCCCTGAAGTGAAGCAAGGATGCCCCACATATGAAAGATGTGACGGCACACCAATATAGTTGAAGACCGAAGCACCAAACTTAGATGGGCAGAATGCACTGTAAATCTATGTCTCTTCAATTGTAATTTTGTGCTTTTTCAAATGTATGAGAACTCAAAAGGAAATGTACGGTAACCTAGTTAAAAAGACTCACTTATTGAGCTTAATATTGAGAGAAAAAGTTTTCATAGATGAGTCGTCGATAACCTATATGACGGGAGCAGGAAGGACACATAACAATAAACCACTGGCAACTGTTTACGATGGCTCAAATAGAATAGTCATTCTGACTTCCATCCTGACTTGCATTCCTAGCCAAGCTTCTCGAATGGAGACATTTTCACACAGAAGACGGAGACAACGTCAATTCCTTGTCGATGCGATTGGGAGCCAGTGGAAGCGGAAATGTTGAAAGGTTAATAATCACGTATATACGACCTGTTTATTAGGAGGTCTTTAGGAGAGGTGAACTCCTCTCAGGACATATGGCCGAATAGTGGATGCAGATGTACCATTTCTACATCTTATTACAAGGTAGACAAGTAAAAGCCAGGCTAGTTTTGACGGGGTGGTGTTAATTCCTGTCGGATCTGTCCTTTTCAATTCTTTTCTTTGCGTTTAAATTCATACTACTTTCTAATAGTAAGTAGTATGAATATATTCTTAAACAAGACTTTGTAATTATTTTCTCAGTTGAACATTATCCGCTTTATTTATGTTCTCACTACTGTTGAATATTGTTTATTCGTATCTCTTTACCTCGTATCTGACATTCGCGAGGTGTTTCCATCTACGCGTAGGTCACCTGTGACACAGCTTCGCTGTTTTTTCTTTATGGTGCACACTGATTGTGTTTTGATGACATTCAGCCACAGACACCTAACAAATGAGGTTGGCATATAATAATTTATGTTTGATATAGTACCGTATTTTAGGCATATCGAGTGCTTTGGAATTTTACGCGTCATTCAATGTGTGGTTTTAATAATCGTTGGATTATCGTCCCAAAATTTCTTTTGAAAGAGAGTCACAGTATCCTTGAATGTTCTTGATCAAGCAGAATTATTATCTAGTAGAATGATACACTACAACATGTCCCGAATTCTATTCTAATTTCACAATCGTCACTTACTTGTGAAGCATCGGTTAACGAAGGCTCAGCTGCAATTGATTCTTGCTGAATAGCTTGATTAGTCGAGCATTCTTTATCGTCATCATTATCATCATCACCATCATCGTCATCGTCCTTGAGGTTATTGTCACCATTACTTTCAGTATTATCAATAAATTTACCAGCACTGGGTTCTTCTTTTTTAATTAAAGGAAGTGTAACGCATAGAGTATGAGTAGATTTGTCGAATTTCGCGGTACCTTCGGAAGCATCCACTTCATAAGGGAGTTTCAGGTCAAGAAGATAGGCGATAGGCTTCTCACTCTGTAAATATATAAAATAATTAAATTTACTGACAAAAAGAAATTGACAGAAATAAACAGATGAGTTAAGGAACGTTAGCCAGTTATATAAACTAAACGAACAAACCTAGGAGTATTGGACAGCTGTTTCGCCCTAGTTTGGGACTCTTCAGCAGTATGCACGTACGGTGAGCGCGTACTGATGAAGAGTACGAAACCAGGACGAAACAGCTGTCCAGTACTCCCAGGCTTTCCAGTGGTTCTCTAACTGATGTCAGCTCATGGTAAAATCCTCCATACAATCAAACAAAATCCCTACAAAAGCAATACTTCAAAAATAAACGAATAAACCTCATGTCATTGATGTATTCACGCATAAGTGCATAAAGCAGATCGACGTCTGAAGTTATTGCGTAAAATAGTGGGATTTAAACACATAACCAAGTGGTTTGTAGTTAGATGGAAAAAGGCGACTGATAAAACCGTTAGACAGTAAGGTATTGCAGTGTGACAAACCAAATAAACAAAGCAAAGTAACATTATCTGACAACTTCTATGCATGACAAGTGGCAGAGACACGGTAGTTGGCTGCGTTAAACACTTAAAATCTTTCAATATTCATATTAGAACAAGATATATGATAGGCTAACAATATTGTTGTTTTCCGTTAGATCTTCTTCAGGCTTTAATCTAATTTACATAGATTTATATATAAAAAATTTTAACCAATGACGGTGATTTTGTGGATCAAATAATAATAATGTGGTAGATGATAATAAGTTTTTGCACTTGGCGTTAAGGGTAACGTATGTGGTAATATGTGTATGTGTAGACAATTCAATAAATAAATAAATTAGATCAAATCTTAAAATTTACGTAATACTAAAGGTGAAGTGGACAGATGTAATCAGAGTTTAAATAAATATCATAAAAGTACGAAGGAAATAGAAAATGAGAAAGGGTGGGAGGGTTTTGATTAGAATTTACCTAGGCCAAGGGAGAGACAAAGGTAAAACAAACATCTTTTGCTGTATGCAAAGACTAGGATTGTTCTCTCAAATTAATTCCCATGGCTTCGGCTTTGAGTAAAAGGCGAAGGGTTCGAATTCCGTTCGAACGGCTCGATGGAATGCGATAGATAACGTTGAAGGCACTTCTTCTGTCCACATTGTTATCGCTATCAATCAAATGAGCCAAAATAGAACTTCCTATAGATTTTATTTGACCTTTTCCGAACCATGAAGGAAGATGCTCATTAATGCGTTTGTTAAGCTGTCTAGTTGTCCACCCTATATAGCTCTCTCCACAGGAGCAACTTAATTTATAGATACACATAGAAGTCGCACAGCTAGGTAGCTTGTCTTTCACTTGAGCAATCATAATTGACCGGCTGGAAAATGACAAACAAAGGGTGGTGGCAGTATAAGTCCGTTCGTTTTATTGCTCTCGATAATCTCACATGTAGGACTTCGCTAGCCACATCCCCATTAAATTGCAGTTTCATGAACAATTGTTTCTTTTCAACTGTTGTCAGCTTCTCTTTATTGTACTTGGTGTGTTCATGTGTCTTCTTACAAATCTACTAGGATAACCCATTTGAACCAACATATTTTGGATGTATCCTAACTCATTTTGTAGGGAAGTCATCTGTACAGATACGTCTTGCTCTATTCGGGAGGCATCTGACCAAATTGATTTCTTATCGGATTGGCACTAAACTGAAGAAATGTGTATATTGTCCTACAGATGTAGGTTTTCTATAGACCTCTCTCTTGAGTGAACCATCCTCTCTTCTGCTCATTTGGACGTCCAAGAAATGTAATCTACCATCATGTTCTTCTTCACAAGTGAAGATGAGCCATGGATGTGCATCATTAAACTTTTTTAACATTTCATTCTTGTCAGCAATCTTATCAAGAATAATAATAATAATACTTGGTCTTCATTATTTGTACAACGAAATAGATTTCAAAACAGCATTGATTAACCAGCTTCTACGTTACTTTTTTAAAGCAAAGCGAATATTACACTTCAAAATGAGAACTGTATTCATGCTACAGTCTGTCTGTCTTTTCTCGACATAGAACTTTGCACATATGTGTGGCAGTTCAAGTCGCCACACTCCCTCCATGTACCATACAAAGCAAGAGAAGAAAGTAGAAGGAGTGCATAATAGAGACAGTAAACAGAGTTGTGAGACAAAGGAATAGTAATAACGAAGAACAATATAGTTTCATTGGAATTCATAAATCACAAGGAGTGAATGCATCTGCGTAGCAGCCATTGAGGATGAGGATTTTGAGCCATATCACCAATTGCTTCCAACCACTGGTTTTTGCCGTCCCAAGGATCACAACCAGGAAGTTTATATTTTCCTACCTAGCTTAAACTAACTGTTGTAGATTTCATTGACTGATGAGGCGATGTTTTGGTTTGACCACCGCTAGCTGTTTTCCAGCCGGACCCTATATCGGCTATTTTATTTTATTTTTTTTATTACAGCTTGATGCCACACCGTATTTCTTGGTACAGGTATGGAATTTTCAGCATGTGATATCTGTAGCCCAAATTTTGCAGGCCGACCATAGATATCAGGTGTGCGTTGGCTGGGGATCGAACCCCGGACCATGTGCATACTTGGCGAGGATCCTAACCCCTATGCCACGGACGTACACTGCCCGTCGACGAAGGCGATGACTAGGCATACGTAACACATGTCCTAACTATCTCAGTCGATGTAATTTCACAGCCTCGTCGATTGATTTCCCCTCCTTACCTAGAACTCGATGCCTAACCTCAATATTGCTCACCTTATTATACCACTTCACACGGGAAATAGAACGCAGGCACCTATGATCAAAGACAGCTAATCTTTTCATGTCTTCCACTCTCAATGGCCAGGTCTCACAGTCATAAAGGATCATGCTACAGTAAATTTGAATTTACTCGCGTGAATATAAACTTGACTTATTCACCTGCAAGTTACACATAATAGACATGTACAGCTAACTTGTCTCTTGAATTCATCCAGGTAGTATAGGGATATAAAAAAGGTACTAATCCATCATCACAGTGATGACCTTCCATTAATTATTCTAACAATAATTTATGGCAATATGATCTATCTATATCCCTGTCTTTTTCAAATATGGGTTTTGCAGGGATTTTGTTTAATTGGTTGGAGGACTTCATCATGAGCTGACATCAGTTTGAGAACCACTGGGAAAACCATCAGGGAGTACTGGACAGCTGTTGCGTCCTACCACCCACCACCAGGATCCGAGTCCACAACCTAGTGGTTAGAAGACGAGCTAGCTCGTAGACCATTAAGCCACTAGGACCCGATCTGATTCAATGACCAGCCCATCCACGCAATGGTGTTCGAACCCAGGACCTTCTAGTTACAAGGCGGGCTCGTAGGTCATTAAGAGAGAGAACCTATTTAGTGACCAGCCCATGAATTATAACTTTTGCCGATTCATGACACAGCACGACCACTTCGCAATGTCTTCTTCGATGAGTTACTGCCTCACCTTCAAACTGCTGTACCCTACTGGTCATGGCTTCCCGCTAGAACCCCAGGTCACTGCCTGAATAGGGCCAGTCACTAGTGGGCATCAGATTAATTTTTAAGTATTGGTTTTTTGGGGATTTCGACTGATTGGATTGTAAGACTTCATCTTGAGCTGACATCACGTACTCATGTGATGAATTGGCAGAAGTTAGAATTCATTAGTTAACCATCGGATTAGGTCCCAGTAGCTTGTTGGCCTACGAGCTCGCTGATCTTGTAACCGGAAGGTCCTGGGTTTGAAACCCATTGTGTGGATGCGCACTGATCAAGAGTCCCAAGCACTAGGGCGAATCATCTGTCCAGTACTCCCAGGCTGGTTTTCCAATGGTTCTCGAACTGATGTGTCAGCTCATGATGAAACCTCCAACTATACCCCTGTGCATTCAGTTGACGTATGTCGCAGACAAGTTAAATATCTTTATTATTTTTAGTGTGAACATATCAGACAAAATCGGTCATTTGGATACCTTTCTAAGATATGATAATGTCGTCAGTTTGTCCATCTGTAGATTCAAGTCTGTCTGTCTGTCTGTCTGTTTACGACATAGAACTTTGCACAAATGTGCGGCAGTTCAAGTCGCCACATTCCGTGTAGCACGCGAAGCAAGAGAAGAAAGTACAAGAAAAGCATAATAGAAACAGTGAGCAGAGGTGTGAGACAAAGGAGTAATAAAGAAATACAAAACAGTTTCATTGAAGATCATAAGTCACAAGGAGTGGATGCATCTGCGCCACTGAGAACGATTTTGAGCCATGTCACCAATTGTTTCCAACCATAGATTTTTACCGTCCCGAGGACCCCAACCAGGAAGCCAGTCTACACCTTCCTACGTGGCTTAGACCAACTGTTGTGGATTTCATTGACTGATGCCAAGTTTTTGTTTGACCGCCGCTAGCTTTTTTCCAGCCTGACCCTATATCCGCTAACATAGCTCGTCGAGGGAGGCGATGGCTTGGCATAAGTAACACATGTCCTAACCATCTCAGTCTTTGTAGCTTCACGACTTCGTCGATTGGTTTCCCCTGTTTACCTAGAACTCTACGCCTAACTTCAATGTTGCTCACCTTATTATGCCACTTTACACGGGGAATAGAGCGCAGGCACTTATGATCAAAGACAGCTAGTCTTTTCATGTCTTCCACTCTCAGCGGCCAGGTCTCACAGCCATAAAGGAGGACGGAGCGGACTGATGAGCAGTACACCCGCCCTTTGGTCGATAGTCGAACATCTCGTCTACGCCAGAGTCGGCGTAAACTGGCAAATGCGAAACGAGCCTCCTGTATTCGTGCTGAGATTTCGTCAGAGATCAGCCCGTTGGGGCTGATGATACTTCCCAAATAAGTGAAGCGGTCAACGTGCTCTACCACTTCACTTCCTATTTTTAAACTAGGCGTCGATGCAGTCCAGTCCTGTATCATCATCTTGCATTTGGCGGGAGCGAATCGCATGCCAAACATTCGTAGATTACGGCTCAAGGTGTTTAGAAGACTCTGCATTTCGTCAGCGTCTTCGCCTAGAAGGACTATATCGTCTGCATACTCCAAGTCAACGAGATTATTCCCCGCTAGCAAGTCAATCCCTGAGTCGCTGAAGTCACCTAGGGTTAAGTCCATTAACACATCTATGATGAAGTTGAATAGAAAAGGAGATAATGGGCATCCTTGACGGACACCACTGGTCTTCATCAGTTCAGATGACAGCTCGCCGTAAGCCCTCACCTGGCTGTATGAGTACGAGTAGAGTGCCTTAATCAGTGCAATATATTTTCTCGGAATTCCCTTTACAGCCAAGCATCTCCAGAGAACTTCTCTATCGACAGAGTCGAATGCTGCCTTTAGGTCAAGAAATATAATGACTGTTGGACGCCGGTAGGAATTCCTATGTTCTAGAATCTGTCGGAGGGTGAAGATATGATCAATACACCCACTTCCTGGTCTAAAGCCTGCCTGGCTCTCTCGTGTTTGTGCCTCCCGAGCACCACTTAGTCTACGCATGATTAGATTCAAGTGGTTATGTTTAATTAATTTAAAATCCATCTATGGGCGTTAAAACTGCTACAAAACGATGTCTGGCCTTCGTAGCAGATAAAAATGTTCACTGAACCAAACCAATACCGTACAGTATGCTATTTGATTACAAAGTTAACTACTTTTAGTACCTAAATTATTACAAGAAAATGCGACATTAAGACAGAACCTCAAGGGACAGCAGTTTTAGCCAAGTTATATAACTGCTAGAAACTTTTAGATAACTCAGGAAGACCTGAAACAATGATTATTAGGCGGGGGGAGGGGGGTGGAGAAGAATGAAAGCAGTACGGCACATTATATATGTTCTAACCAAGTTCACTCTAAACAGTTTGAAAAAATTTGGGTATATAATATTCATTAGAATAAATTTTTTTTTGTATTTCCCAATGAATGAATGGAAAACAAAACGACATTACTGTTTTTACTGACGTTTCGCCATTTAATGCTGCTGCTAATAACTCTACCAAAGTAGCTATATTGAACCAGAATTGATTACAAAATCTCAGCTTATACTACAATAACAACTTAATCATCGTTCCTCAGTATGGAGGCATTTTTACGGTGTTGTCAAATTGACCAATTGGTAAAGATAACAAAACCAGGTGTAGATTGTTGGATTCGATAAGTGTGTAAAATTATTAAAAAAAAACACCGTGTGTTTACATAATGAAATTGCTTATCACATTTGTGTAACCAGGTCAAAATTCTGTTTTAGTTCAACATTCCTATTCAGACAATTTGGATTCCACTTGATATGAAGTGCTTCTAATATTTGACGTTCTTTGTGATTTCTGAAATTTTTCTGGATGATGATTTCAATATTGTCAAAATTCATTTTGTGGACTAGTTCTAAAACGTAGTGTGTAGACGACCTATGGCTGATGATTTTTCAAGCTTTTCAACTGGATTTCTCGATGGTCAAACACAGATGCTCTACGGTGTTCACTTTTTATGAGTTTGATTTCTCTCTGGCGATGTTTGTCCGATGTATACCGCATCCCATCCCATTCCAATCACTTCATTTTGTAGACACAATTAGATAGAGAATCCTCGGGGATTCGGTCTTTTATATGGACAAGGTTGATTTTTAGTGTGCGTGTCTGATGTTTGGAAGAAAACTCTGATGTCGAGCTTATTGAGTTATCTTCTGATACCGTCTGGCGTCTCTGCTCTATATGGAATGACAACTGTTGAGGTCCATGTTTTCGGAATGCGTTTTCGACCATATCTAATGTCAGTGTTGATTTTGTTGATGAAGTTTTTCGGCTAGTTATTTTGCTTGAAAAATCTAGTAATATCTGATATTTCTTCTTTTTGCTGTCTCATCCGTTATCAGAGAGTGTGCCCATCTAAGATGACTTGAAACACCTGATACCAAAACGTCAATAAAAACAGTAATATCGTTTTGTTTTTCATTCATTGGGAAATACAAAACATCTTTATTATGATGAATACTGTACATTGTATCAACAATTATGATGGGGTAGCGTCGATGGCACAGCGGTTAGGACGCCCGCCGACCATGCACATTGTCCGGGGTTCGAATCCCGGCCACAGACGCACTCCTTTACCTCACTAAGCCAGAAATAATGCTGATAAAGAGGAAAGGTTGGATAGGCATGAGGCTAGCAACCGCATCCTATAAAAATTAAACACTGCTACAGAAACTTCAAGCCACTAGCTTGAGGCCCTATGTTCCACTGGGAACGTGAAGGAAAAAAATTATGGGATGCTACTCATCTAAACATAAGTAGAGTGTTGAGGAGTGTGGAAGAAATACTTACAGCCACATGTAATTGTGTTGTCTGTACATCTAAATCAAGACCTGACGATGAAGTTAGATCAGGAAATTTAATATTGACTATTAAACGATCAGGTGGACGAAGAGGATTTACATCACCAGAGTTTCTACAATTGCTCATATCAAAATCTGAACTGTAGGTTATAGTATAGTCTGGTTTAGTAGGCCCGTTCATTTCATTTGATTTGACATTTTCTAGAATTTAAACAAAAGATAGATAGATAAACAGATAAATGTAAGGTGAATTCAAACCCCACTAAAATCTTCCAATTTCTTCTTTGTAGTTCAAACTTCAACAATATAAATATGTTCCATAGTTTGGTTTGTAAGGATTAGATTTGTTTTGACAGGCTAATCACGCATTGATATCAACTAGAGAATCATTGAAAACCAGCCACATGGAGTACTGGACAGGTGTTTCATCCAACGATAATGGTTGGGGTCGCGCTAAATCACGAATCGGTAGAAGTTAGAATTCATGTACTCGCCATTGAATCGGGTCCCAGTGGCTGAATGGTGTACGAGCTAGCTTGACTTGTAACTGGAAGGTCCCGGGCTAGAACCATATCGGTGAGTGCGTACTGCCGATGATTCCCAAACTAGGATGAAACAGCAGCTGTCCAGTACTCCCTGGTTTTCAATGGTTCTCTAGCTGATATCAATCCGAGATCAACTCGTAAATATAAATATGCCTGAAATTTGAAAAGTTTCGGTTCAGGATGACTGTTTTGGCAGTTTAATCTTGATAAAATAACTAAATAGCAAATGAAAACAGTATGTTTCCCAGCAAGAAAACAGGCATAAAATGGACCCACACAAAGACTTTGGAGGATCTAGACTCCTCCGATGATATATGTCTGATTTCCCACAAAGTGGAAAATATGCAAGTGAAAAACAACAAGTTGGTAGAAGAAGCATCAAGAGAAGATAGGACTTCCTTCGGGTGAACATAGAGGAAACAGATGTAGATGATGAAGACTCCTGGCCAACAGTAACAGCAACAACAACAGACAGCAGTCAGCCAGCATAAATGGGAGAAATCTGACAGAAGCAACCTCCTTTGCCTAATCACCTACCTACCTGGGAAGCAGGTGGATGGAAATGATGAAAGTATCAAAGCGAGAATGGGGAAGGCGAGACAAGCTTTCATTACTCTCAAGTCTGTGTGGAGGTCAACAGCACTCCTCAGCATGAAAATGAAAATAAGATCTGGATTTTCAACTCCAGTGTGAAGTCTCTGCTACTATACGGATCACAGACTTGCGTCACGAACGGCACATCGAACAAACTACACACCTTCATCAACAGCTATCTTCGCCCAATAATATTCAAGATCAGATGGCCAGAAAGGATCAGCAATAGTGAGGAATATCTGGCAATTGAGTGAACAAATTCAGCAGCAACCAATTGTGCAACAAATACGCAGCAAAAAATGGAGGTGGATTGGTGATAATCCGAGAAAACAGACCATCAAGTGGCATCACACGCAATGCAGACCATTGCTCGAGTGGAACCCGAATGGGAAGTGGCGAGTTAGTGCGAGGATGACATGAAGGAGGTGATTTGAAGAGAGGAGATGAAAGCATGCGGACAGACGTGGAGTGGGGTGAAAACGTTGGCAGAAAACCGAAGGCAATGGAGACGTGCAGTTAAAGGAAACAATAACGTCTGTGACATAGTGAGAGCGAGTTACGCTTTGATGTTAACTGCCTTTGTTATAGTCGCAAGTAAAGACCTCTGGAGATACTCTTTCTATTGAGATATGTGTTTGTTCGACAAAGACATCAAGGTAGCGGCTATCGACCAGATTTAGTGAGTTAAAATTATAGGGAAAAGGTTTCTCCTTCTTTTTTAATCAGTCTGCTAACAACAGTTCACAATTCGCGAAATTGAAACGCGATTGCACATACAGTCACGAAGCATCTGTTAGATAATCGAATATTTCCTAGTTAAAAATGTAGTTTGAAGGACTCTACAGTGTTTTAAGCTTTTTCCAATCTCAAGTGTGAAATACCTGAATAGCTTTTAGTGCTTTTTAAAAGTGTTTGTAAAACATATTTTGTGGCATATTTCATAAATGTCTAATTCGTAACAGGACAAAATTAGAAATACACACAGGGAACTAACTTACTTTCAATCTTATCTTTTGGGTCATTTGACGTGTCAACATTTTCGTAAGGTGGATAGGCGGAGAGTCTTTTCATAGCTTGCTTTTGTTGAGCAGTTGTGCAAAACTTTAAATCTTCTGTTTCCCTTCTTTTTAATTCAGCTTGACGTTGTTCATAATCTGAGCGTCGCCGCCTAATTACTGTTGGTCGAGCAACACCTTTGTATGATACACCACTTAACAGGTGGACTGCTTTAAGCAAAGCATTATCATCATCAGCCAGAGATTTTGGACAAACTGATCCACTCTGAGAATTCTTTGAGTCTTTGTCTCTCCTACGTCTGAACAAGTGTAATGCTTGTTTGAAAGTCATTCCAAGACATAAATTGTACTGTTTCTGCAGGCCTTCGATTGCTGTTACGTTAAGAAGTTTTTTAAAAGCTGCAGATGAGTTGGCCAGTTCAAATGCTTTCGGATTGAACACCACATCATATACCTAACCGATGTAAAGACGGAAAAGTGGAGATTAAAACTTCTCATTTATTGCTGTCCGCATAAAATTCTCCTCGTATATAAAGTAACTCACCGTTGCATGGTTTTTGCTTTTATCAAAATCTTCACGTGGAGGAGTAAAACAATGCGGAATGCTCCAATAGGATCTACCGCCACCACCATGTACCGAAGAATCATTTTTCATTGATTTTATTTGTGGACACTCTACTGCATCCGATTTGCAGACATTTATGAAAACTTTTACGGATTCATTAGTTGGGTTATCCTCTTCTTTTAAAGCGGTTTTACTATCAGAACACTGTACGACACATGGCCAATGTCGAGTTTTGAAACAATGTCCCGGGGTAGGATTGATAAATTGCACATCCATTCCCTGTTCTAATTCCATTAACTTTATTTCATCTTCATATCTATATATTCAAAAATGATGAACATTATGTTAGCAGTATTTAAAATGCGCACTTGTACTTACTGCTGACAAAGACACATTAGAAAAAGATCAGGAAAAAAAAGCAATGACAGACTACTTCTTCCAACTCTTTACACAGGAGTCGTCACTCCCCATAGGATCAGCTTTTGTTGCATCAGAGGGACACAGGATAGACTCGACGTTGACCAAGACATCGTGCACAGCTGCCTATTGAAACTAGATACCGGGAAATCAATGGGTGTTGATAGTCTTCATCCAAGGCTTCTTAAGGAGCTACCAGCTCACATAGCCGGCCCATTGACCACTATCTTCAAGTTGTCTCTCCTAAATGGAGTGTTACCGCGTGGCTGGAAAGACGCCATAGTAAACCCCATCCAACAAGGAGGATCAAGACAAAGCCCTTCAAACTACAGGCCTATTGGTCTCACCAGCACTTTAATCAAGATACCGGGAAGAATCATCAAGAAAAGTATCATAGCATATCTGGAATACAACAATTTTTTTTCCAGAGCACAGCATGGCTTCTGAGTAAACCTCTCATGCCTGTTAAGCTAAGGGACAACAGAAGACCAATTGACTTCATCTTCATAGACTTCAGTAAAGCCTCCGATAAAGTTCTCCACGAAAGACTACTCATCAAGTTGTAAAGTCTAAATTGGATTAGGAAATTCCTCATAGATAGGATCAACTCGAAACTCTACTCCTGGACAGCAGTACGTAGCGGAGTGCCACAAGGCTATCTTTGCTCACTGATTCCCTTATGGTCGAATACGCAGGTGACTTAAAAATCCGAAGGGAGCTGAAGGGTGACCGTGATACACTCACGTTGCAAAATGACCTCAACAGATTGTCAGAGTGGTCCAGGGAATGGATGCTTCCTATCAGTGTAGCGAAATGTGCAACCATGCGTTTCGGACAAGCAAACATCAGCTCCTACGAACTAGAGGGAATAACACTCCCATCAATTCAGACTCATAGTAAGTCACGATTTAGAAACTACAGCACACTGTCGCGCGGTGGCTGCACGTAGTTTCAGATCCTTATGGGCGATTCACAGAACCTTTACTAGAATCACCAAAGATATGTTCACCTTATATACATCTCTGGTGAGGTCAAGACTGGAAAAATGTATCCAGGCAGCCAGTTCTTGCCTAAAAGGGGACTCACACATTCTATAAAGGGTTCAAAGGAATGCAACACGTATGATTCCTTGCATGACTAATTTATCATATGAAGAAAGACAGGATAGTTTAAATCTCTTCTCCCTATAATACCGTAGGCAGAGAGAGAATTTAATTACAATGTTTAAAATCTCAAATAATGGCTACGGACCTGACCTATTCTCTCTATTCCTTCGTACCAGGTCAAGCACCTTAGAGAACATAGCACGAAAGTTCAAAAGCCAAGAAGAAACCATAATACCACGAAGTACTGGTTCTCACACCGAGTCATAAACTCTTAGAACCGACTCCCAGAAAAAGTGCTGTCTGCAACCTTAACTGATTTGTTCAAGAATGGTTTAGACATGTACGTAAATTTAAAAGTAAGGGATTAACACAGACTCCAAACCTCCTATCCTCAGCTAATAAATCTGAGTCTGAAATCTAATTACTTCAAGAGTTCATGAAAGGTTGTAGGACGAGTATGTTCGACAGCGACAAAAGCCTGAGTAATGTAACGACTTCCAAAATCTTGCACACAGAGAGTTTAAACCGACTTAACTTGCTCCTAACGGCACATCAGTAGATAATAGATTCGGCCAAAATTAAAATATCATTGTAAAACCACAGTGACCCTGGACAAATAATCAGAATTCAGAGGCAAAAATGTCACACAATGGTTGAAAAATGCACTAGAAAACACCACAAACATGATACTTTACTATATACCTGTGTGTTGTAGGAGTGTCACAACACATAATCTACGGGGAAATCATATCATGCTCAATAGATAAATTCATCCAAATGAGTTTAGGTCACCGTACTTTGAGATCTTTTGATATCTCCGACAGTGTTCTTATACCTGCCCGTTACTCTAACCATAATCCTAACTTCTAATTATAACATCATAACCCTGATTAACAGTGTAGATTCACAGAAAGAGTCGCTAGTGAATGAGTAGAATACTGTCTCTACCTTCTCTAAGTACAAAAAGACAGGAATGATTTGATTTGGAATGACCTTTCATAGCATTCCCTGTATCTGACTAATTCTTGAATGTCAACTAATGAAAATCCTTGGCTTTGGCTATGATACTTATCATAGCCATAGTTAAAGTAATGTAACTTCGCCGACATTCGAAATGATATTTCGTAACTTGAGTTCTAATTTCGGCTCCCATCTACTCACCTTTTTAGAACTGAAGATTCGAGAAAATAATGCCTTGGAAAAATAAAAAATTTCGGTTGGGATTAACTCATGGAATATCCAATAAATATATATATATTATATGATAAATCTAATGTATATTAGACTACGCACTTTTTCTTGTTAATGGGATCAGATATTTCTTCTGCATATTCTCTGAATAGTTTGCGAAATTCTGGGTCTTTGAAAGCATTCTTCAACTTGGTAATCTCATCTGACGTTAAATTTATGTCGCTCATTTTGTAGCTACCTCGTAACTGCCGAGACTCAAAACCTTGACAACATACATCCAATTAAACAAACAAACAAATCAAAATGATTTAAGATTTTACTAAGTTCTTATGCCTACTACAGGCGTGAGTAATTTGTTAATTGTTGTTGCTGAAAAATTCACAGCCTTTTCAATATCTAATATCTTTTTTACGAGCTAGTGTGAACAAACTTTGTGCTCGCTTCTTGGTTGTGAGGTAAAGATTCCTGGTCTACACCAAACTTCTGCCTAGTTCATCCCGTTTCCCAACTATTTTGGCTTTGATTGAAACCAAAAGGAGTGGTGCTGGGGTTTTTATATGTAGTTTGCAGTACACTGTGTGTTAAGGCCGCGTTGCTACTTTCACCCTTTTAGTCATTCAATGTGGTCGAAAAGAAAGATAACAGTGTTAATAATAACAACATGTAAAATTAATGTGCATTGTGTGAACCTAAAAAGTCAGTGTAGAAACTAATAAAAAGAAAGTGGAAACTGATATATACATATATCAAAGATAATAATAGTGTAGGGGAAATAGTAGCTGGAACAGTTAAGTGGATAAGATGAGATAGAATGTGAAGAAGTAAAAGACTAGTTAAGGTGTAAACCTTTTAATAATGTCTTCGTTTTAGGGAGATATTCCTCATGGACCTAGTCCTTGTGTCACTGCATGATTGTCCAGGCTCCACATACAGCTGTCCACGGACGTAGCAGTAGCCACGTCTGCCAGTGGACAGCCACAGGGTCGGCAAACTCGATATGAAAAGAAGTGGGACTTACTCAATTCTTCACTCTCCAAAGATCTCTCCGTCGTGAATTCCCACGAGAAGACCCATACCTATTTCTTGGTAGGATACCTCTGTTTGGGTGATTCTGACCATTTGTAATTTTATAGGTAGTAATTAAGTCAGAGTTGGTCGTCCAAGGGTGACTTGGAGGAGGTCATGCGAGGAGGAGATGAAAGAATGCGGACAGACCTGGAGCAGGGTGAAAAAGTTGGCAGAAAACCGAAGTCAATGGAGGTGCGCAGCTGAAGCCCTATGTTCCTCTAGGAACTAAAGGATACAATAATAATAATAATAATAATTAAGTCCCTCCTAAGCAGACGATAGCTAGGTGTGAAAAGACCTAATCTCTTAAACCGTTCGTCGTACGGTTTATTCCGGAGAGCCATTACAGCTTTTGTCCCCCGTCTTTGGACTCCTTAGAAAAGGTTGGTGTCTTTTAAGCAGCGGATGAGCAATGATATTTTACAGTCTGAGGGTGTCGCCGCTCACGATGTATATTACCGCAAGATCTTACAACTTCTACAATATACGTTCCACTTAGATCAGAAGCGAAGCAAAACACCAAAATAGTGTGAACTTAGGGGTATGGCCTTATGTATGTTTAGTAAAACCTTAGCGAATGCTCAGGAGTGAGCGCACCTAACTATCTATATTTAAAGTGCGTGACTGCATATGCCCCCTGTACATTCCACGGGCAATTCACGGTTGTGCCCATCGCTTCAGTAAGAACCAGACGTGAGTCGCTCTTCGACGCTGCGCTGAACGGCTTCTCATCACAAAGGGAGTAGTTTACATTCTTCAGCCTACAGCTGTGTGTTTGCACTGCGTGGAATTTTTTCAAGTTGAAAGTCACACCACTAACCATCTCCCAGTCTTTCAGAAGTTCTGGGTCTACCTGAAGCCTATCTGATTCTTTCGAGGACTTTGTTGTTCTCCAAATCTTCTATTCGTCACCGTAAAGAAAAGCCAGACAACTTAGATGGCAAGGTAGGTCACTCATTCAAATCAAAAACATCAATGGTTCAAGGATAGAGCGCTGCGATACTCCTGATGACGAGCTGTGCCGGGAGGATCTGGCGCGACTGGCCTCAACGCAGAATTTACTTTCATCTAGGTAGGCCTCCATGCGTGGTGGAAGCGGACCACTTGTACCTGCTTGACTTATTTTGTGTAGGAGAAGGTCGTGGTGAACTGTGTCAGATGCCCTCTAAACGTATAGAAAGAGTGCATGGACAAGAACATTCATATCCTGGTGTAATGTCCAATCATTCCAAGCTCAGAGTAGGTTTGTTACCCAGGCTCTACCTATCCTGAAACCACGTTGTGTTTAATGGAGTCCAGTAGTACTGTCAAGGTGTTTCCTGATGTGAGCATCAATCGGACTTTGCAGCACTTTGTATACCACCGTACTTGCGCTACTGGTTTGTAACTGATGGGATTTCGCTTATCCCCACTTTTGAAAATAGGAGAGATGACTATCTTACACTTCCTTGGCAGCTTTCCGGAATCTATTGAGTGTTGGAACAGGTCACATAAGCTGCTATAGAGAACTTCACTGCACTCTTTTGTAATAGAGAGCAGAATGTAGTCAAAACCTGGAGATTTTCCAGATGTGAGTCCCCGTAGTTTCCCCATCTATATTGCCAAGTTAATCCAGGACGTAGTCAATAGTCATTCTTCTGGTAAAATAGTAGTGCAGCGCTTTGGTCTATACCGGTAATACCCACGATGCCTTTAACATTTTGCTGTACTGAATGTTTCAGCCATTTCCAAACCAGTGAGATAAAAACCTTTTGTACCTACTTAGTCACATATCCCCTGGTTTGTGGGTTTTCTCTTCGACTTTATTCGGTAGAGGCTTTGGAGTTCGTAAGGAGCTTTCTGACAAGATTTGCCTGAAATCACCTCATATCAGTCCTGATTCTTGTGTTGCACAGGTCGCAGAGTTCCAGGTATACGTCTTAGATGTTCTGACTCTTGAATATTAGCCACTTTGACCAAGCCTTCTGCTCTGGGTGCCTATTTTCAGTCACGAGGAATATTTCTTCGGTTGTGTTGTGACAAAAAGAACGGTATCTGAGGTTGTTGTGTGAATAACCCTTTACACCTCTTCACAACGTAACTCTACAGGTAACTCAGCCCAGTCTAGGGGCCATACCGTGTGGGAAAAAGGCCTACGAATTAAGGCATCGTCGGCTTTGCTATGGCATAGACAAGGCTGTGTAGTATCCCATTGTAAGCGCTCAATTAGAAACGGGCAAAACGCTGTGACTGCTTGGCCATTGCTAGATAAAAAACCTCTGGGGAAACAGTTAGTTAGGCTACCTAAGTGACTTTGAACGCATTTACAGTTGGTGTCGTTCAGATGTAAGGCTTATGATTCATATGTGGCCACCATTCCTGCTAGATCTGAGCTTTAGCCACACTACATACTGACTCTTTAGCCTAGCCCACCCAACCCAGCGACCAGTATGTGGTATCCCCTTAGGCGAAATAATACCATGTAGAGTCTAGGAGCCCAATAAATCGTGAGTCCTTCACACGTATGAACCTAATGCGCTTGTCAAATTGTACGGCAGCCCCCTCCCTTATTATCCCATCTCCTGACTTGAACCATCAATTGTACTTAATACCTTGTCGGCAAATTAGGGACTAGCCAGATTTCTGTCAGTACTATTGTTCTGAACTCCAGGTTTATCTGTAAGATTCTGAGTTCGCCTATTTTTCCCCGCATGTCCTTAATATTTTTACATAAGCATCTGACAGTGAGTCCCCGCACCGCAGCGTCTTGTGGCAACGGAATTCAAATTAAAGCCACTTAGCGGATTCCGCATTTCAAATAGTACCTAAAAAGGACGGCAGCGATTGGAGACCCACTGGTGACTGCCTGCATCTGAGCGGCCAAAACGATCACAGATCAGTAGCAACCGCCTCAAATACATAATCGAACGTTGAAATTATCTGTTACCGCTAAATTTTCGAAATTAGACATGGATAAAGCATACAGCCAAATCCCTATGGCACCTGAATACATTCCGAAAACGGTTATTACACATTTCTGAATTTCTACTGATGCCGTTTCATTAATAGAATGCCTCGAAAACATTCCAACACTTCGCTAAAGAAGTATACCACTGTCTTGAATTGGTATACACATACTAGGACGAGTGCACTACAGCGAGTCCAAACAAGGAAACTCACCATAGACACTGGGATTAGGCATTCAAAAAATTACGCCGATATGCTGCTGCTAGGTATATAAAAAAGCTATTAAGGAACAGAACTCATGTCAACGTAGTTGAAGATTGAATGATCAATTCACGGCTGTTTGCTCAAACCCAACTTCCCCAATTTTCGCGGAGGCATCAATCAGCCAGTCATCGTCTCATCGGGTGCTGTTCAGAGAGAAGTCGGGAGACAACCGTCAGAAGTAATATTGTGATTTATTATTGTAATATTTGTTCATAGACCTTAGTTGTAAAGCTTAGTTGTACATTGGCTATATGTTGGTGTTAGAATAAATAATTCTCGAGTCGCCAAACTGGGTTCTGATTTTTGCGTCCGTTCGTACTAAGCGTTTCTGAGAAGTTTCGAGGAACAGCGTGAGTCCCAGCGTAGCAAGAGCTGGGCATCAACGGTTTACGAGACGTGGCTGACAGTTTCTGACGGTACGGCGTCAGTTTCTGACGGATTCAGACAGTTGTTGGCAGTTTGGTTAGTCACCGTTCATCTTTCCTGGTCCCGGCCAAGTCTTCTTTGAACAAGCAATATCTGGAACGTTTTTGGAATTGGGTCAAGTTCAACAATAAATAAATAAATTAATTAATTTATTCTCATGATACATTACATGAGGGACGCCAGTTTACAGGCATCATCAAATTGTTACAGAAATAGGACCATATTATTCAGTCACAATTTACAGTCGATAGCAAAATATGTTTAACATGTACACTGGAGATTATACATACACTTGATAAATGTTAATCCCAATAGTATAAAACATCCTTTTCACTTATGTACAATCATTTCTGTGCATAGTTGGAAAAATCCGCTAGATTGTCAGTGAGTGCAACACATCAGGAAATACAGAAGTATTGTCTTCGCATTAACAAAAAAACCAGGTCTTTGGTGGATGGGTTATAAGTGCCTGGGAAAAAAATAAAGCTTGAAGTCAGTTTTCATACATAATTTTGTAGTGTAC